AGTAGTCATTATCCAGTACTCCAAAATATTATGAGTAGAACATCAGAATCCTTTGACAAATTGAGAATTAAACCCCAAATCTTTCTCTCCTACTAAAGGGAATAATGGTGATGCTAATAATATGGTTTGCTGCATCCTAAGTCTCAAGGACCACTATGTCTTATCTCTTCCTTTTGAGGAAGCCCACTAAGTGTTCATGGCTTGGCAACATTTTTCTCTGAATGTCTAGATAGCAAGTATTTTAGGCTTTGCAAGCCAGACAACATTATGAAGTCCCTATTCACTACCAGCTTCCAGCTATCCATTATTATTTTTTCCATTCTTCCAGATCTAGTTTATAAATATACAAGCACATATGTTTACATATATGCTGCCATGTTTTTATCCAAATGGTAGCATAATGTAGACACTCCTGTGACTTTGTGATCTCTTTCTTTGTTTTTTTTTGTTTTTTGTTTTTTTTACTTATTAGAAATCACTCCATATCAGTTTATAAAGGGCTTTCTTATCCCTTTTTTTTTTAAAGGCTGTATGGTATTCTATAGTATGGATTTATCCTGAAACTTTAACCAGGCTCCTATTGACGGGTGTTTAGATGTTTTATAATCTTTTGCTTTACAAGCAGTGCTGCAATCAGTGAACATGTAGGGTAAGTTGAGAGAATAGAATCAATGGATGAAAGGTTAAATTAAAAAATGCATTGGAGATTTTGCTAGATATTGCCAAATTGCCCTTTAGAAGTTTGAATGGTTTTCCCTCTTACCAGCTATGTAACAGAGTAACAATTCTCTTTCTCATTAATACAGTGTATAATTACACTTTTTCATGTTTGCCAATTTGATAGGTAAAAATGATATTTCAGTGAGTTTGATTTTTATTTCCCTTTTTATAAATGAAGTTCAACATCTTTTAATATATTGAAAGAACCATTTGCATTTCTTTTTCTGTGATGTCTGTTCATGTAGAATAATGGCTTCTGGGAAGAGAAAAAAGCCTGAAGTTTTATAAGAGAATTAGTGAAAGTGATCTGTTCTCTATGTAAGTTAATAACAAGATACAACATCCTTTTTTTTGATATTTTAGTTTTTTTGAAAACCTAATACTGTGTTCATATAGACATGTGTTTTCTATTTTTTACTAGCTTATGTGAAGCTAATGTGATCATTGATGTCATACCCCAGCCTGTAGAACAGTGCCTGACACTTAAGTAAATGCTCAATAAATTTTTGTTAGGAGGTTTTTGGACAGTCTATTAATGTATCCCTATACTAGATGTCCTGCAAACAATCTTTTAACTTCACAACATTTTTTTTATGACAAATTACTCTCCTTGTTTCGAATATGGGGAAAATAAAGTTCAGGGAGCTAAGGAATGAGTACAAGGTCACATGAACCAGGGAGTGGCCAAGCAGAGATTATAAGTTTCCTACTCAAAAATTTCCCCATGTCGTGTCTCCAGCTACAATTTTCCTTTTTGTCAGTTTAGAGCATTTTTCATTTAATCCCTGCACAATTGTTTTCATTACAGCTGAGGAAATGTAGTCCTGAGGAAATGTAGTCCTGTTAGATCATGTTAATAGGAATTAACACTAATGGGTGAAGGACAGCACTGAATAATTTTGCTTGGCTTTTGAAAAGATAGGGTGTTGGTTATATCACAAATAAGTATTCATGTTTTTTAAATGCCACATTTACTTATTAAACATATGTGTTTTAAATACCAAAATATAGTTATGTATCTCTATAGCAGATATAAAGCAACAACAGGGTATTTCTACTTTTCTTTTGAATTTATTTATTATCCTCTGATTACATTTAGCCTTTAGAGATATTAACTAAGCTCATTTTCACCTTGTGTCTAATTAACACAGTTACTACTAGTTTCTCAAGAGCAATTCAAGGTATCTTGTTTAGGAGCAATATTCACAACGTTAACAAAAATACCTATTCTACCAGTTGCACTACTTTTCTTTCTAGCCTGTGGATACATTATTGCTGCCAGCATTTTGTTTATTGCATTCTTTGCATCTTCTTGGCACACTCTAGCCTTTAAAAAAAACCTACATTCTATAAATTGGATACTCTGTATAGAGTTCCTACCAGAGCATTTATGGCATAATGTTTTATAGCCCTTCTGAGAACTATAATCTTTCCTTATTACTTTCCCCTGTTCTTTTATCTCTCCAAATTATGAATTGCTTTAGAGGCTTGTCCCCTCCTTAATTACTTGCACTTTGCACTGGATGAATTCTGGTGCTTTCCAAAAGTTATTTGCCTCTGGCAGCACTGCATCTGGATCTTTCTATGTCCTGGGAGTCTCTTGCCTCTTTTTCTAATCGCAATTTGATCTCTGACTTGAATTCAGACAGTTTCTAAAAGTTCAAGAAATATTGTGTGGCCTTCTTTGGAAAATACACTTGTACAGCCCTGGATACTTTTTCCATGTATCACTTAGGATTAGTTCAGCTGCTTAGAACAGAAAATCCAAATTACAGGAGCTTAAACAAAAAAGAGGATTATTTTTCTCTTTATGTGAAAGAACTCCAGTGGCAGACAGTCCAGGCTGGTGTAGTATCATCATGGCCCTTTCTGTCTTTTTTGCTCTACTATCCGTGGTGAGTGGCTTCTTTTCTCAACTTTGCTTGTTGGCTGTTAAGATGGTTGCTGCAGCTCTAGCCATCACATCCATATTCTAGGAAGCAGCAAGAAGACATGAAAAGGGAAAAAGGGACACTTTTCAGCTGAAGCAACCACCTTTAAAGAGCTTCCCTAGAAGTCCTATCTAATGACTTCCAATTATATCTCAAAATACAAAGGAAGTGAGGAAGAAGAGGAGAATGGACATTGGGTAAGGCAACCAACAGTGCTTGCCACCCTCAGACATTTTACCTCTATTGCTTGGGCTCCATGCTTGAGGCCAAACTTCTATGTGAGGCTGGCAGGCTCCCAGGACACACCTGGAGGATGCAGCACACCTTCCCTCTCTGGGAACCTTCTAACTTTACCTAGAGTTGCCAGGATATAGAACATGTGATACCCTTTTCAGGGACATACACCAACAACATATGCTTAACTCTTTTTCCAGGGCTGATGACCCTTCTCAAAGATGACTTTTTAAAAACCCTACTTGTGGGAAACATTGATCACTTACTTTCATCATCAAGTATTCTTTCAGAGTTGTTGCTTTTGCAGTAAAGTGTGCGTTTAATCCCTTTGGAGCTTAAATTTTGTTACTCAAAGCCAAAACTTCAGAATTCAAAAATCTTTTATCTCTCTAAAAGCCCAGGTCTTATAATTTGATTTTTTTAAATTAAAATTTATTGGGTTGACAGTGGTTAGTAAAGTTACATAGGTTTCATCTGTATAATTCTGTAATACATCATTCATATATCACATTGTGTGTTCACCAACCAGAGTCAGTTCTCCTTCCAACACCATATATTTGACCCCCTTTACCCTCTTTACTATCCACCCTTGGATTTTAAGATGATTATCTCTGCCGTAAACTTTAAAAATCCATTCAGGACAAAAAAATCCCTTCGGTAAATCACTTGGTTCCTCCTGTTACTATCCTGAATGCAGCCACTTGAGACAATACAGGTGGAAAGGTTTTGCCTGAGCAGGGGGCAACTGACTACCAGGAATCTTGGGTAAGCTATGACAATGTTATCTATTCAATGAACAACTGTAATACACACCAGAGAAGGGTGATGCAATTAAAGGGGTCAAGAAGTGCAAAAAGCAAAGAATTCAGACCGGGAGCAATCAGGGATGATGTCTCAGTAAGGGACCACTGAGCTTGTCTTTGAAAGACTCTGATACCAGAAAACAGAAGGCACAACTTTGCAGACTGAAGAAACAGCATCAGCTAGAAAGGGGCCTGTTTGGACAAATAGCTTAAAAAAAACAAAACAACTTTGCACGACACTGTCATCAGTCAACAAATACTTATTAAGCATAGACTCTGTCCAGGTTACATGGTAAGCTTGAGGCTTCCAAGGTAAAAAGACCTTATCTCTGATGTTTAGGAGTTAGGAGTCTTGTTAGGGGAAATAGATACATAAATAACAAATTATAGTACAACTTGACCAGTACTATATTTGGGATTTAAGGAATAGTGGTGAACGACTGAATGAATTAATTGATTAGTGTTGAAATAAGTACCTTCCTGCCCCACGTGATAGGCCTTGGGGTGACAAGCACTGGGGACAGAGAGGGCAAGAAAAGCAGTGTCTCTGAGCTCCTTGAACTTGAATCTAGAATTAAAGAGGAACTCAAATGGCTGAGCATAAAGCCTGAGCTGAACATTTATATTTTGTTGTGAAATCGGGGCTATAGATGTGGAAATTGTGCTGTTAATATTTTAAAACATGTAATAATTGCTGTATTTGCAAAGGACTTCAACAGCTTCCTTGAGAAAATTAAAATGAATACTATGCACATTACAACAATTTTAGACTTTATTTTGCTGGCATAACACTGAAGATTCAAATGAGAGGGTTGTAACATGAGTACACAGAAGGGCATTTCTGGTGAGAAAAACTTGAAAATTCATTTTGGATATTTTCTTTTTTTTTAACTGTCCATTTGTATTATAATACTGGTAAATACAACATCGTCTTTCTCTCCTGTTAAAGCCAAAGAGCCTGAAAATTGACCAGACTATGAATCTTGTCATACTTGCCTTTTTCTCTGAACTTAATAATTAACCTGCACATGTTGGAGGCCTCAAATGCTCCTAAGCCAATGTTAAATCTACAACAGAGCTTTCATTTGTTCACTTGACAAAGGGGTTTATGATCCTGTTTGGAGAGATATGCCATACATCCTTGGAAACTTAACTAAACATGCCAGTAGGTATGCCACTAAGGTTAGATTGGGTATACGGAAGTTCCCCTTGTCAGGAAGAGCCCCGTTCCATTTTAGAGAAAGCTCCAGTTAGGTTGATCTAATTGAAATAGCCCAATAAACATTAAATATCATGTTCAACTGTCTTGCAGGTCCTTCATTGCTTTACCGATGCCATTTTTGATGCGTGGATGAAAAGATTTAATCCTTCTGTGGATACCTGGCCTCAGGAGCTGGCCCCCATTGGTCACAATCGGATGTATAACATGGTTCCTTTCTTCCCTCCGGTGACTAATGAGGAATTCTTTTTAACTGCAGACCAACTTGGCTACAGCTATGCCATTGATCTGCCAGGTAACTGATACAACTTCTAAATGGGTGAAGCATTCATCTTTTAAAGAAGCTTCCTTCCTTCCTTCCTTCCTTCCTTCCTTCCTTCCTTCCTTCCTTCCTTCCTTCCTTCCTTCCTTCCTCCCTCCCTCCCTTCCTTTATTTCTTTGTTTCTTTCTTCCTTTTTAAATGTAAACCAAGACCTTAATTTGAAGCATTCAGGTATCATTTATTGACAATTTTCTAGAATGTATATATTTCGCTAAATGAGCCTTTAAACTACTAATTAAACATCAGAAAAGAGACCAGTTGGCTTTCTGTTTCAGAAAACTGGAAGTTGTTAAGAGACCTTATTCCACAGAGGAAGCATCTACTCCCTCACTTGATTTCACAATTCTATCTGAATTAATTGAAAACTGGCCCAGTGATTTGAAATGTCCAACCACTCCAAAATGCACCAGTCACATGAGGACAGGGACTTATAGCACTTAGAGATCATTGCTTGAAGGCAAGACTGGGTTTAGGGTGAGGCAAGTGCAGCACCTGTCTCCAGTGGAAAGTTCAAGGAGAGGCAAAAAAAATTTAGTAATGGAGATAAGTAATAACATAATTCGATATTAAAAAAATTAATGCAAAAATATATGATGAATTTGCTATCAAAAATTTGAAGAAAGGTACGCTGTTATTTGTTTTGTATCCCTGCATTATTTTGTAACAAGACCAATTTTTTCCAATTAGCCCATCTCACCCCTGCCAGGTTTGTGAGGTTAACATGGACTGCTAACAGATTGGGTTACATGGGACGTCATGTGTGTGTTTTACAAATGTAATATTTTTTTAAGTCATTTTAAATTGTAGATTTTTTATTAGCTTTTCCCACTTGGTTCAAAATATGGGAGGATATTTTGATATGTGTACATAAAGGCACACACTTTTTAAAAAAATTTGCTCAGGCCCCAATATAGCTCCACATGCTATTTAAAGGATCTTAGTTTCAAATATATATAAATAGTGAATCAAGTTGTGCACCTGAAACTAATACAATGTTGTATGTCAATTATGCCTCATTTAAAAAAAAGTCTTATAACAGGTTGAGAAAGGAAAGGTAAAGCAATAAAAAATATCTTAATTTGTTAAGAAGCTGAAAAACACACAGCCCATCTGCTGGTGGCTTTTCCCCATTTGTGTCTATTTCATCTTTTCTTAATCTCAGACTATGAAGTAATAAAGACAATGTGTTTTTTTTTAAAGATTTTTATTGGGGAATTGGGGGATGAGAACAGACAAGTTGCTGTCCTTTTGTTCTTCAGTCTAGTTGTGGAGGAGGTTGCTTCACTGGCCCAAGTTGGCACCATCATTGCGCTCTTCCCGGGCGAGGCAGATTGATCTCCAGCTTCTGGACGGCCGCTCACAACGGCTGCTGGCTGCTCACGCTGGCTGCTGGCTACACACAGTAGCCCATGGCAACCCACTGCCACAGGGGCTACAGCCCACCTGTCGCTGGCAACTCACGGCAGCCCAGCTCCAGGTTAAGCTGTTGTTCAGAATCTTAGCAGTAGAGAGCAGTGTCACTGGCCCTCATGTGTGGGATCCAAACCGGGGCCCTCTGGCATCCCAAGCCAGCTCTTAATCAACGTGCCACTCGGCTGGCCCTCAAGACAATTTTTGACCTCATCTCTCCCTCTCTCTCTCTCTCTCTCTCTCTCTCTCT